CACTCTTGTATAAAAAAGCTTCTCGTGTTGTCACCAATTATTGCAACTTCTTTTTAACAAATCCATTGAATCTTCCACCTTCCCATCCATACTCAAGACAGCAAGAGTCACCACAATCCTCAAAAGGAGGTGATCCAACTGAATTGAACAATTAAAGGCCTATATCAAACCTGCCCTACTATCTAAAATCTTCCTAAAATTAATTCACAAACAAGTCTACTCCTACTTCGTATCCCACAACTTACTCAACCCTTGTCAGTTTGGGTTCAGACCGAAAAAAAGTACTAATGATGCTATTATACATATGCTTGAACTAATATAGTATTCTGCACTCGCGAAAAATGAATTTTCCCTGGGACTTTTCATAGACTTATGAAAAGCTTTTGACACAGTTGACCATGACCTTTTGAACCAAAAACTCGAACATTACGGGGTCAGAGGACACTCTCAATTGCCTAAAATCTTATCTTAACAATAGAACTCAGTATGTATACACAAATGGAGCCAGCTCCACTACACAACCTGTTCTTGTTGGAGTCCCACAGGGGAGCATTCTTGGCCCACTTCTCTTTCTCATTTACATCAATGACCTACCAAATGCATCTAATGTCCTTAAACCCATTTTATTTGCAGATGACACAACTTATGTCTTTTCTCACCCAAACCCAACCATACTAACAGACACAGTAAATGCTGAACTGCTAAAAATATCTATTGCATGATTACCAACAAACTTACTCTCAATATAGACAAAAACTACTTCATGCTTTTTGGAAACAGAGCTTCAAATGTACAGCTAAACATATTGATAAATGGTTCACCTATTTCGAGACAGGCAGAGGGCAAATTTCTAGGTTTCTACCTTGACTGCAGTCTCAAATTTCAGACACATATACAGCAAATTTCCAAGAAAGTCTCCAAAACAGTAGGCATCCTTTCAAAGATATGGTACTATGTACCCCAATCAGCTCTTCTAGCTTTGTACCACACTCATTTACCCTTACCTCACCTATGGTATTTGTGCATGGAGCTCAAGCACAGGAAATCACCTTAAGCCTTTTATAACCCAGCAGAAAGCTGCAGTGCAACTGATTACTAACTCCTGCATTAGACAACACACTCCACCTCTTTTAAAGAGTCTTAACTTGCTAAATACAGTACAAAACATCCACACTTATTATTGTGCCTACTACATACACAGAACACTATACTCTAATGTAAACCCTCCTCTCAAACTACTCCTTGATAACTATAACAGAACACAACCATAATATGAGACACAGATCACTCTTCGATATCCCTTGTGTTCATCTCTCCCTATGCAAAACTGCTATGCACATAAAAGGCCCAAAGATCTGGAATTCATTGCCAGAACACACTAAGGGACCCCCGTCTGCAAATCAGTTTAAGGCCCTAATAAGAAATCACCTCATTACCTAAAATTAACCAGACAAACCGTACCTAATCACTACCAGTTTCTCAAAAGCTCAGCCACTTACTACTTTGAAATTAGGATGTCTATTTTTCCATTGTTTTAAATAGTAGCAGATTGTAATACAGTACATCATAATGTACATTGTTCCATTGTAATACCAAATTTCATTGTTTTAAATACAGTGGACCCTCCGTTTTCATCAATCTTCGTTATCACCGATTTAGGTTTTGGCCGACTTTTTTCTCCAATTTTTTTGCTCCGTTTTTGTCGATTACCTCCATTTTCGTCGATCGTATGGCACCCGTCCAGTGCCGGGCGCACAGACAAAGCCGTCTACCATGCCATTCTCAGCCAGCATAGCATTGTTTCTCGGTGAGCGAACATATCCTGCCTGGTCATACAAAACATTTCGTAATACTAATCCATTGTTTTTGCCATTTGTTTATTGTGTGTGACTGCTAAATAAGCCACAATGGCCACAAAGAAAGCCCCTAGTGCCAGTCCTTTGGTAAAGAAAGTGAGGAATACCATAGAAATGAAAAAAGAAATCCTAAGAAAATATGATAATGGCATAAGCATTGCTAAACTCAGCAGGATGCATGGGAAGTTGCCATCAACAATCAGCTCCATTGTGGCAAAAAGAAATTATGGAAGCTGATATTGCGAAAGGGGTAAATGCGATAACCAAACAGAGATCCCAACAATTGAAGAAGTGGAGAAATTGTTGTTGGTGTGGATCAGAGAGAAAGAGTTAGCAGAAGATAGTGTTGTGCAGTCAATTATTTGTGAAAAGCCAAGACAATTACATGACAACTTCTTAAAGAAACTGCCTGAAACAACTGCTGATGTAGGTGAATTTAAGGCCAGCACAGGATGCTTTGAAAAATTCAAGAAGCGAAGTGGCATGCACAGTGTTGTAAGGTACGACGAGGGTGCCAGTTCAGACAAACAAGCGGTTGAAAAATTTGTGTGGGAATTCAAATGTTATGTAGAGGCTGAAAAATTCCAACCCCAGTAAGTATTCATTTGTCATGAAACAGGCCTGTTTTGAAAGAAAATGCCAAAGAGGACCTACATTACGCAGGAGGAAAAGGCACTCTTGTTGTGTGATAATGCTAGTGGGGATTTCAAAGTGAAGCCTTTACTGGTGTATCACTCTGAAAATCCCAGTGTTTTCAAGAAAAACAGTGTTGTTAAGAGTAAACTGTGTGTGATGTGGAAGGCAAACAGTAAGGTGTGGGTCACAAGGGAAATTTTCCTGGAATGGTTTAATGAAGTGTTTGGCCCCAGTGTGAAAAAATACCTCCTGGATAAGAAATTGCCACTCCAGTGCCTCCTGTTAATGGACAATGTTCCTGCTCATCCTCCAGACTTGGAAGACCAACTGTCTGAGGAATTCAGTTTTGTAACAGTGAAGTTTTTGCCTCCTAACACCACTCCTCTCCTCCAGCCCATGGACCAGCAGATCACTGCAAACTTCCAAAAACTGTACACCAAAGCAATGTTTCAAAGGTGTTTTGACATAACCTCAGACTCTGAATTGATCCTAAGAGAGTTCTGGAAGAATCACTTTAATATCTTCCAGGGAGTGACTTCCAGGATGATGAACTCTGCTTGGAGAAAATTGTGGCCAGATTGTGTCCAAAAGAAGGATTTTGAAGGGTTTGAGGCTGATCCTGTCGACCATATACCTGCTGTGCAATCAAATGTGGCATTGGGGAATTTCATGGGGTTGGATGCGAGTTTGGAGGATGTGGAAGAGTTGGTGGAGGACCACATCGAAGAGCTAACCACTGATGAGCTGCAAGAGCTTCATCTGCAACAGCAACAGACCACAGCTGAGGAAATTGCTTCAGAGGAGGAGGAAGAGAAATGGAAGAAGGTGCCTTCTTCAAAGATTAAGGAGATTTGTGCAATGTGGACTAAAGTGCATTCATTTGTGGAGGAACATCACCCTGAGAAAGCTGTTGCAATCTGTGCTGGTGATTTTTACAATGACAATGCCATGTCCCATTTTAAGCAAATCTTAGAGAGATGCCAGAAACAGACCTTTTTGGACAGATATTTTGTGTGACAGGGGTCCAATGACTCTCAAGCTGGTCCTAGTGACAGTAAAAAAACAAAGGAGGGAAGTGACCCCAGATAAGGACTTGGAACTTAGAGTCCTCATGGAGGGGGATTCCCCTTCCAAAAAATAACCTATCTTCCCTCTGTCCTCCTTCCTGCCTTCTAGCAACAACAGCCTTCAGTAAAAGTGTCATGTTTAATGTTCATTCTTTTGTGCATGTAACTATCTTTAAGGTTAGTTAGTTTAATATGTTTATTATGCACCCCATACCCATCCTGTGGGCAGTAGTCAAAAGATTACAGAGGTACATAATTGGTCCAGGGACTGGACTCCAAAGTTTTGATAGCTGAGCAAGTTACAGAGGTAATGAACTCACAATTTACAAAGGTAATGAACTCACAATTTACAAAGGTAATGAACTCCAGGTAGGTCTGGTCACAACCATGACAAGTTACAAAGGTATTTACAGATCTTTAAGGTAAAAAAAAATTTTTTGTTGATACTTCTGGGTGTCTGGAATGGATTAATTCCATTTACATTATTTTTTATGGGGAAAATGGTTTCGGTTTTGGCTGGTTTTAGTTTTGGTCGATGGCTCAGGAACGGATTAAACAGGAAAACCAAGGGTCCACTTTAGTACTAATCTGTAATACATCATATTGTAAATTGTTACACTGTAATACTGTAATCTTTATTAACTAACTCAACAGTGTAATAAGTCTCTACTAGACTCATCAAAACCATGTAGCATTACCTGATAGAATATACAGTTCTACTGCACTCACTGTAACTCATCTAATGACCATATGAACTATGTATTATTGCCTTACTAATCTTAAGTTAATCTCTAAGTTTGCCTGAAATGCTCTGCATACAAAGGGGCTTTTGGCATGTACACCCAACTATTATATTCCTCTGTACAACCATGTAATTTGTCAAAATAAACATCTCTATCTTTAGGATTGGACAATTAAGTGAAAACTGGTTAATTGGGTTAAGATTGGAAAATTAGGTGACAACTGGCTAACTGGGTTAGGATTGGAAAACTAGGTGACACCTACTTAATTGGGTGAGGATTGGGAAGCTGGATCATGGTTTATTTGGTTCACAAACCAACTCCACTAACCTTAAAATGGTAAAGAACAATAATAAAAAACAATATCAGTTAATCATCTCCAGGCATCAAAAAAGATAATCTTTATTCAGCATAATCTACAAATATTTTATGGATATGTAATACAGATACAGATTTGAATAGGAAGAGTAAGAGGAGTAAAAGGAGATAAAGAATGAAAAACAAGAGGAATATTAAATAAGTAAATAAGGACAACAAGGCAACTAAATAAGAATAGATAAAGAAACAATAAAAATGGGAATTACTATACAATTTCCATTTTCTGTGGAAATCAGACTTATATCTGTGAACGAGCCATCAAAGTCTAGGACATAACACCTCATATTGTAACATTAAGAAAAATTCTTGGAGAGCATACTTACCATCTTTAAGTCCCCTTGTTTTGCAGCCTTTATGATTCCATCAGAGTTTTTCTCAAGAAGGTGACTGAGGAAGAAAGATACCATCATCATTCTTGTATCACCAAGTTACATTGTGTTACAATATGTCAATTTTTTTTGTATTAGTGAACTCTTTAATCCTCAATTTATTTATAGTGTATATTCAAATGCACTGATGTACAGTGTAGGCACAGACATAAAACAGCAATAGCAAATGGGTAACAACAAATCACATACAGGAACCCAATGACAGGTAAACACTCACAATCTGATAGGAGAATCAGTCACTCAAATTAATTCATGTAAGCCACAGGTAAAGATTCGAGCTAATCCTTCATTTATTCACACTTCCAACAGATAAAGACGTTCACTCACTCTTTTAGATAGTATTGTAGATAACTGGTCCTTACTTGCAAAGACACTCCAATCTTTCACACATCATGCATGTAATGTTGTCATTCAATTACAAATTATTTTAGATAGGCAGTTATGTTAGTCCAAGTAATACTAGAAAATGACATCTGACAGTACTGTACTCCTATGTGTAGTCTCAGAAATATACAGAAAAACATCAAAGGCACAAAGATAGAAAAGGGCATTGGAGAACCACAAAAATCTCACAAACAAAATGTGTATCATAATACAGACACTGAAAGTAAAAGATGAGTAGGTTAGGGAGATGTTTGAAGATAGATAGCTAAACAGTTAAGACATTCAATAACATCTTGAAACTAAAATGTATAAGCAGAAATAAATGAAGCAGCATAAAGTAAGGACATAAAAGACACACAGGCAGTAACAGACTAGTAAAAAAATGATAAAGAAAAAGTGTGAAAGACAGCTGACAGACATACTGGTCAACAAATCAAATTGAAAAACAGACACAAGGATAAAATATAGTTAATGAAGGTACTGTATATACAGTCTTCCCTTCACATTTGCAAGACAAAAGCATTAAGAGGTGAGGTTCTGTTCCTAGAGGTTCAATCTGACCATGGGTAATCACTGACCCATAAAAATGACGGATAATTAAACTTATTTATTGACTGCTTATAAGTAAACATGTTGAGTAATTTTTTTTTTTAACATGGGCTCTCTCCCACCAAGGCAAGGTGATGCAAAAAAGAAGAAACAAAGTTTTTCTTCTTTTTATATTGGTAATGTTGAGGGAAGAGGTTACTAGCCCCCTTGCTCCCAGCATTTTAGTTGCCTCTTATGACATGAACAGGTTACAGAGGAAGGATTCTTCTCCACTTCAACATGGAGACTGGATAATTCTTCTTTCAACAAACCGGCCGTATCCCACTGAGGCAAGGTGGCCCAAAAAGAAAAACGAAAGTTTATCCTTTTAAATTTAGTAATATATACAGGAGAAGGGTTACTAGCCCCTTGCTCCCAGTATTTTAGTCACCTCTTAAGACATGCACAGCTTATGCAGGAACAATTCTTCTCCACTTCCCCATGGAGATTGGATAAATATAACCCATAAATAAGGAAGCCTGAGATTTTGGAGGGACAACTACTATATGCTGTACATAGACAAATGAGAAAAATAGATATATAAAACAATTTATGTAAACACTATTACAGAAAACATCCCCTTCCTCTCCCACATACACAGTAAAGGTGCACACACAAATAATAGAAGTAAAAACTAAAGTAGAATTCCAAAGGATTGCTAAAATACACAGGTGGCACTTTAAAATAAAAATATCTATGCCTAAAAGTCAAGAACATCTAAAGGAAATGCAAGTTGATGAATTCATACAAGTCCCAGTTAATATTCAAAATAAACACTTAGAATGAGGTATTTAATATAATTAGACAATGTCCATATTATAGGTGTTCTCAATGTTAAACACAGTTATTTTTGACATCTATATGGGAATACAGTACTACATTTTTGTGGTACATAGTATACATGTATATGCTTAAAAAGAATAATGGAACGAGAGGAAAACAGATACCTGGGAGGGTAGTATTCTGGACCAAAGACACGTTCATGCAAGCTGAATGATGGTCATGATTCACGTCAGACGAAGTCCAAAAAAAAGTCCAATAAAAAATAAAGAAAAATAACACATGAGCAAATAAAATCAATGATTATCTACAATACAAGAATGCATTAATCTATTTTCATGTAACAATATATTGTATACCGTGCATTCCAGAAGTATGGGTACTTTACAGTTCAAAAATTTATGTACTGTATAAAATCAATCAGCAGATGTATGTAAGTACAGTGCATATGCACAAAATACTGTACACAGCAAGGCAGCACTAAGAAATTTTCAAATCAATATTCAAAAGCTGCAGAAGCTCTGGGCAATGCAAACACTCCAAGAGTAAAAGCGAGAGATAAAGTAAATGTCATGCCCAATAATGTTTTTGTCAAGTTGGTACCTTTATCCTCGTTGTGTTTCCATCTCGCATTATTCCTTGAACATTAAAAAAAAAAAAAACATGCAAAATCTATCTTGATATAATTTGTGCACATGAGGAAATTGCAGTTTCTAATAAATATCAACAGTGGTTCTGACAACAAAATTATTTAATTTCCTTGTTTGAATGCACAAGCCTTAGAGTATTTGTCAATAAAAGCTAGGGCTCATGTGACAAATCATTCTATGGTAAATTAATTTTGTTGGAACTGCAAAAAATGACATTTATGGACAAAGCAGTGCTAACTTCAGCTGCACTTGTGTGCAAGAATTAGTAATGCTTGTCAGGAATGTGGCAAGTGTCAAGCACAATCCAACAATATTTGTCTATGAAGATCAGAGCAAATATTTAAACAGCTAAAAATAAAAATAGCAAGCAATAAAATTGTAGTTGCAAAATAAAATTTCATTCGTGGAATAATCAAGGAAGTTTTCAAGAAAATAGTTATTCCTATAGTATCTCTATCTTGCATTTAATTAACGAGGTTCCCATATTTCTGTATTAGTCCTATGGCAAGAAGAAGCTGCGAAGGTCCTTATGAGCAGTTATAAAGAGTAGCATCGTCAGCACCAATGGAACCAACACCAACATCAGCAACAGCAGCAGTATTAACAGCCCCAATACCAGCCACAGCTTCACCAGACCTCGTGCCCCAAGCATCTAATATGTCTACATATGGCTGGCCACGTGGAGGAAGCTGACACAGTTGTTGCATTTAGAGTATACTGTACTTTATAAAACAGATACGAAAGTACACTACTTTGCTCTTAATTCTGTATGTATTATGTTGATTATCTTTTGATCTGGAAATTAAAATAGCTCCAAATTATTCAAACGTCGTATATTATTTGCTATATAAATACGTAAAGCAAAAGTATCAAAATTAAACTGCCTAGAACTTCAAGAAGTATGTAATCCTTTAGAATAACTACTACATGGCATCTTCCCTTCCAGCAGGTGGAGAGTCAGGTGCCTCCACGCGAGTCAGCAGTGTGAGCTGTTTACCTGGGTACCCGGGCCTCCAGGGCCTCCTCCTCCCCGGTGTCAGAGGAGTCTTGGCTGGCGGTGAGGGCAGAGGTGGGGTTTCGCTGCTCCGCATCAGTTCCGCCCACGCCAGAGTCACTGTCGCTTACCATGGCCATCCTCTCGCTATGGTCTATGTCGTTGTCCACGCTGTGAGACCCAGTCATAACCAGGAATACCACAGTTACCAGGCCACACACTTTACCAGGAACTTACAATTACTGGGGTACTACAGATACCTGAGCTCTTTACTGGAGCATCACAACTATGAGCGCAACAATTCCTTTGGTCTTACTATTTACTACCAAACCACAGGTGTTACTGTTTAACATCTTAATATGGCCTACCTTCAGAGATAAATGAATAACAAACCATCTATGATCACCTGATCTTCCGAAGATATCAGTTGCATCACACTAGAAAGCATCAGATGCAATAAAACACCAAGTGATCACAAGTGTCATTGCAATCATATGCCAAAATGTAAGAAGTCAGCTAGTAACAATGGATCAAGAGGCACACATAGTATTACCATTGTAACTATTGATATCAACAGTAATGGATGCCACAGCTGCAGTGCATCAGGATCTGGGTACCCGCGTATGGTCTACTCTTCCAAGTAGGACTTGATCGAGTCAAATTTTAACTACTACCTGTACATTTTACATAGGAACTAATCCAGTTGACAAGGTTGAGATAATGGGGGTTGAGTGCTACTGAAATGCAGCTCCATTTCAGGTGAACTAGTGAACTTGTCTGGATAAAAGATGGAGGAATACTTTAACTATCAGTAAATATATTGAGTCCTACTATTGAAAGCACTGAGGATCACCTAAAGAATCTCAACTCTGAATATGGGTAATTTTTTCTTTAATAATTAAAATCTGAAGAGAGAAGATACAAAAAGGTTTTGGAAAAAACTGTAGATAAGTTTAATACAAAGTATAAACCAATTGGTAATATAAATGCACCAGAACACAACTTGGGATGGATGGATTTAATGTTTATACAATACTGCAGTTACAAATGTACATTCTTCTAAGCCTTGCAGAAGTAAAATCACATCCACTAAAATACTGTGAAAATATTATGGAAAAGGCATGCAGACTAATTTATCTAAGAAGCTAATACTCACCTTGATGGAACTAAGTCACTTTTATGAGCTTTCAATAGCAAATGTTTCTCAGGAATAAAAATTGAGTGGCGGGAATTAGAAACGATTATGGATTAGCTGCTTTCCCATTGTTAATAGATGTTGAATATAAAAATATAAAAATTCAAGTACCCATTATTTAGTAGGCTACAGGGATAAACAAAACTCATTTCCAATTATTTTATGCAAACACGCATATTTATGTAATCTACAGTGCTTTTAGTTATTATTCCTATTAAGTTTTATGCATATAAAATAGATTAATAAAAGAAAATGGGGTTAAATTAAAAAATCTATAATATCAGGTAGCTTTTTCAACATAACATACTTTACCAACATTTATCACTGTAGCCTAAAAATAAACAAACATCTTTTGTGATTAACCAACGAGCAGGGAAAGAACTCTAAATCCACAATAGCCAAACATTCCACCTTTTCTCTCACATACTAGCTTGCATCAAGACTCACTTTCTCCCTTCATTTCATTCCTATCTTCCCAACCCTACAAATCCTGACCACCTTACCTCACATCCCCTCTCACACCACCACTGACAATACTGGTGGGGTCAATGAGCTCGGGGTCCAACACAAACAAGTCTTCAGTGCAAATGTCTGTCACATAGTGTAGGTGCTCCTGGGCTCGATCAATACGGAAGAACCTTTCAGCCGTGCATGCTGAAATGAGCAGAGTACACTTTATTATAAAACTAGGTACTATTCTAACTATTTTGGACACTTTTTTGTCCCTTGAAAACAATTCTACCTTGCAAGGGGTGATCTTTGCAAAATATTTCTTGTACATCTGAGCTGACTCTAAATGCTGAAGATAACTTTAAGAGAATAAGAGGCGTGTGTTAAAAGGTTCAAAAAAGTTTGTCTGGCACTAAGAAACAGACTGTGGTATAATTATGAGGACTGCCTCAACAAGCATTTACAAAAGGAAAAGTAAGTAAAGTTTACTGAGGTACAGGTACACATAAATACAGTTACACAAATTATTATACATAGTAACATATATGTATATTACCTAGGATAATCCAAAAAAGTCAGATATTGGGGTCCTTGTAGAGGACAGACATTATACAAGCATGCAAGCAGGCCATGGTTGGCACAACCATCACTCTTGTACCATACTAAGTAAATTTGTACTGAGATCTTTTTTGCTGCTCTTCTCACACAATTCACTATGGTAATTAACTATTTACATGTTCAGCTATCAGAACTTTGTGGCCCAGTTCCCAGACCCATTATGTGCCTCTGTAATCTTTAACTACCACCCACAGGATGGATATGGCATGCATAACTAAGATATTAAACTAACATTCACCTCAAGCTCCTTGATCGGTTTATCTTCAAAGTGGAAATCTACATTCAATCCCTTCATGGATGCCATTGCTATGCATGTAATTCCGAGTCTAAAACTCTAAGAACATGTCCAATCCTTATGATACTAAAGACTGTGGGTAAGTATTATGATAGTAACACCTACAGGTATTATGATGTTAACAAGTGCAAATATTATGATAAGTGCAGGTGTTATAATAAATGCAAATACAGTGGACCCCCGGTTAACGATTTTAATCTGTGCAAGAGGGCTCATCGTTATGCGAAATAATCGTTATGCGAATGAATTTTCCCCATAAGAAATAATGGAAATCAAATTAATCCGTGCAAGACGCCCAAAAGTATGAAAAAAAAAATTTTTTACCACATGAAATGTTAATTTTAATACACACAAACTGAAAAAGGCATGCACAATTAAATGACACTTACTTTTATTGAAGATCTGGTGATGATTGATGGGATGGGAGGAGGGGAGAGCATTATCTTCTTACTGTTTAGAAGGGGAATCCCCTTCCATTACGACTTGAGGTAGCAAGTCCTTTTCCGGGGTTACTTCCCTTCTTCTTTTAATGCCACTAGGACCAGCTTGAGAGTCACTGGACCTCTGTCGCACAACAAATCTGTCCATAGAGCTCTGTACCTCCCGTTCCTTTACGATTTGTCTAAAATGGGCCACAACATTGTCATTGAAATAGTCACCAGCACGGCTTGCAAAAAGCTGTGTCAGGGTGATTTTCATCTATAAAGGTTTGCAGTTCAACCCACTGTGCACACATTTCCTTAATCTTTGAAGTAGGCACAATGGATTCCACAACTGGCATAGGCTTCTCAGGGTTAGCCCCAAACCCTTCAAAATCTTTCTTAATTTCCATACTAATTCTCACCCTTTTTACCACAGGGTTGGCACTAGAAGCTTTCTTGGGGCCCATGGTCACTTATTTTCCAGAAACAGCACCGAAAACACTGTAATAATACGAAATATTCCGAGTGTATGCTTGGATGTTACCGCGGAGGCTGGCTGGTAAACAATGGGACGGCCGGCACATGTGAGGCTGGCTGAGGGCACATTGGACGCGTCTCGGACGAAAATCGGTAAGCGGGTTTTTAATCGGTATGCGCGGCAAAAATTTTGCGATAAAAGTAATCCGTGGACTGCTTGCAGAGGCAAAGGCAATGTTCGCGGCTTTCACTGAGACCCACATAAAGGATCACTTGGACAACGAAATATGGATCCCAGGTTACAACCTATACAGATGTGACAGAGTGAACAGGCAAAGGGGGGGGGTTGGCCTGTACATTGCAGAGTCACTTGTTTGCACAAAACTGCTTAATGCCTCAAATGACGTAGTGGAAGTTTTAGCAGTAAAGGTCGAGAACCAAAACCTAGTCATTGTGGTAGTCTACAAGCCTCCAGATGCAACATCCCAGCAATTCCAGGAACAGCTGTTAAAAATTGACCACTGTCTGGAAAATCTTCCAGCTCCTGCACCCAACATCTTGCTCCTGGGGGATTTCAACTTAAGGCACCTAAAATGGAGGAATATAGCAAATAATATTGTTGCAGTAATAACACCAGGAGGCAGCTCTGATGAAAACTCACACTCACACGAGCTTTTAAATCTCTGCACAAAATTCAATTTAAACCAGCAAATAATAGAGCCTACTAGACTGGAGAATACACTAGACTCATCTTCACTAACAATGATGATCTGATAAGAAATGTCACCATATCAAAAACAATATACTCAGATCACAACATAATTGAGGTTCAGACATGTATGCGTGGAGCCTCAGACCCACAAAATGAGACTAGTCACGAGGGAGCATTCACCAAAAAAATTTAACTTCAATAACAAAAACATAAAGTGGGACCAAGTAAACCAAGTCCTAACCGATATAAGCTGAGGAAGATATACTAAGCAACACAGACCCAAACTTATGCCTAGAACAGATTAACTCGGTGGCACTCGATGTATGCACAAGGCTTATTCCTCTAAGAAAAAGGAGGAGTAGATGTAAAATAGAAAGAGACAGGCGCTCCCTTTACAGGCGACGGAAAAGAATAACAGAGCGGCTAAAAGAGGTCAATATATCAGAAATGCGCAGGGAGACACTGGTCAGAGAAATAGCAAGCATCGAACTTAAGCTAAAAGAATCCTTAGGAGTCAGGAATCGCGGGAAGAACTAAAAGCCATAAATGAAATCGAAAGAAACCCAAAGTATTTCTTCTCCTATGCCAAATCAAAATCGAGAACAACGTCCAGTATTGGGCCCCTACTTAAACAAGATGGGTCCTACACAGATGACAGCAAGGAAATGAGTGAGCTACTCAAGTCCCAATATAACTCAGTTTTTAGCAAGCCGCTAACCAGACTGAGAGTCGAAGATCAAAATGAATTTTTTATGAGAGAGCCACAAAATTTGATTAACACAAGCCTATCCGATGTTATCCTGACGCCAAATGACTTCGAACAGGCGATAAATGACATGCCCATGCACTCTGCCCCAGGGCCAGACTCATGGAACTCTGTGTTCATCAAGAACTGCAAGAAGCCCCTATCACGAGCCTTTTCCATCCTATGGAGAGGGAGCATGGACACGGGGGTCGTCCCTCAGTTACTAAAAACAACAGACATAGCCCCACTCCACAAAGGGGCAGTAAAGCAACAGCAAAGAACTACAGACCAATAGCACTAACATCCCATATCATAAAAATCTTTGAAAGGGTCCTAAGAAGCAAGATCACCACCCATCTAGAAACCCATCAGTTACACAACCCAGGGCAACATGGGTTTAGAACAGGGCGCTCCTGTCTGTCTCAACTACTGGATCACTACGACAAGGTCCTAAATGCACTAGAAGACAAAAAGAATGCAGATGTAATATATACAGACTTTGCAAAAGCCTTCGACAAGTGTGACCATGGCGTAATAGCGCACAAAATGCGCGCTAAAGGAATAACAGGAAAAGTTGGTCGATGGATCTATAATTTCCTCACTAACAGAACACAGAGAGTAGTCGTCAACAGAGTAAAGTCCGAGGCAGCTACGGTGAAAAGCTCTGTTCCACAAGGCACAGTACTAGCTCCCATCTTGTTCCTCATCCTCATATCCGACATAGACAAGGATGTCAGCCACAGCACCGTGTCTTCCTTTGCAGATGACACCCGAATCTGCATGACAGTGTCTTCCATTGCAGACACTGCAAGGCTCCAGGCGGACATCAACCAAATCTTTCAGTGGGCTGCAGAAAACAATATGAAGTTCAACGATGAGAAATTTCAATTACTCAGATATGGTAAACATGAGGAAATTAAATCTTCATCAGAGTACAAAACAAATTCTGGCCACAAAATAGAGCGAAACACCAACGTCAAAGACCTGGGAGTGATTATGTCGGAGGATCTCACCTTCAAGGACCATAACATTGTATCAATCGCATCTGCTAGAAAAATGACAGGATGGATAATGAGAACCTTCAAAACTAGGGAGGCCAAGCCCATGATGACACTCTTCAGGTCACTTGTTCTATCTAGGCTGGAATATTGCTGCACTCTAACAGCACCTTTCAAGGCAGGTGAAATTGCCGACCTAGAAAATGTACAGAGAACTTTCACGGCGCGCATAACGGAGATAAAACACCTCAATTACTGGGAGCGCTTGAGGTTTCTAAACTTGTATTCCCTGGAACGCAGGAGGGAGAGATACATGATTATATACACCTGGAAAATCCTAGAGGGACTAGTACCGAACTTGCACACGAAAATCACTCACTACGAAAGCAAAAGACTTGGCAGACGATGCACCATCCCCCCAATGAAAAGCAGGGGTGTCACTAGCACGTTAAGAGACCATACAATAAGTGTCAGGGGACCGAGACTGTTCAACTGCCTCCCAGCACACATAAGGGGGATTACCAACAGACCCCTGGCAGTCTTCAAGCTGGCACTGGACAAGCACCTAAAGGCAGTTCCTGATCAGCCGGGCTGTGGCTCGTACGTTGGTTTGCGTGCAGCCAGCAGCAACAGCCTGGTTGATCAGGCGCTGATCCACCAGGAGGCCTGGTCACAGACCGGGCCGCGGGGGCGTTGACCCCCGAAACTCTCTCCAGGTACTCCAGGTATGCGGAAAAATCGCTATGTGATGCCATCGTTATGCGGGGGTCCACTGTATTACAATGGCAACAAGTGCAGATATTATCATCGTAACAAGTGCAGGTACTCACAGTCAAGGAAGCACCAACTCTCACTCAAGGGCCTGGCTGACCTCCCCTTCTGAGCAGTCTCTTCCATCATACGATTTATATGCTTCCGAACCTGCAAACATGAAGGTAAGAAATGGGTAATGTTTAAAAATAAAAACTTACATGTGTGTAAGCATGCACACACACACCCTTGCTTCAACCTGAAAGGCAAAAGAATGAGAAGTATATGAGTGTGGTTTTAAAACTACAGAAAGCAAAGAGCAGATGACAACAGAGAAGTGAGCAGATGAGCTAGAAACAAATATGCCAGGGTGAGGAGAGAGACACTGAGCACCAATTCAAGAATGACACAGCGGCAAAGGACTGTGGCAAAGGGCTTTCCTACTCGAGCCCAAATTCTCTCCCTTCTGCTGGAACTTTATTCCCTTTAGTGTCCTCCGACTAATGAGCAGATGATGGCAGCTTTTAGTTATAATAGAGATTATCCCTTTCTTCTTCTCTAGTTTTCCCCCTTTCCTTTTCCTTTACCCCAACTTCAGCCTGCAGGAGTGCAGCCACCATGGCTTTATATGATGACTTCTGGACCTCTGGCTGGAATTGGGGTGCCAACTGCATTGCATCTAGGGAATGGGAGGCAATCATGTTTGGTCCAAGGGGGAGGAGAGTTGCTCCTGGATCAACAGCCCTGGATCAACAGCCCTTTACCAGGATCAAGGCACAACCCTTGAAGGGGAAGTTGTATAAAAATTCTTTCCATCTTACCTGCTCAAGATCAGCATCCTGGTCTATCATAATTAGGCCAATGGGAGAGGAAGCGCTGCGTAGTTTCTCTTTGTCATAATGATGCTGCTCGTAGTCGAACATTGTGATTCTCGAGACTTGTAGACGAAGCTGTTCCAGATGGGGCATCCTAATGAAAAAACAAGTTTGGATCAAAATCATGCTTAGTGCTGTGTTTGGAGGTGCTCCTTGAACAAGCTATATAATTGAAAATAAATGGTATGGTGATACCAACAAGATGTGAAAAAAAGACTAGTGTACAGTTCAGGACGTGCTATTTAATTTTTTATTTCATCAAACTGGCCACATCCTATCAAGGCAGGGTGACCTAAAAAGAAAAACTAAAGCTTTTCTTTATAAATTTAGTAATGTATACAGGAGAAGGGGTTACTAGCCCCTTGCTCCTGGCATTTTAGTTGCCCTTTACAACATGCATGGCTTACGGAGGAAGAATTATGTTCCACTTCCCCATGTATATGCTTGTACATGTATGTACAAAGACACCAGCAATCCTACCATCATGTAAAACAAGTAACGGCTTCCATTTTTACACTTGCTTGGCAGAACAGTAGTATTGTACCTCCCTGGGCAGCTGCTGTCTACTAACCTACTACCTAGGATGCTATATAATTCTTTCTTTCAACACACCGGCCGTATCCCACCGAGGCGGGGTGGCCCGAAAAGGAAAAACGAAAGTTTCTCCTTTCAAATTTAGTAATATATACAGGAGAAGGGGTTACTAGCCCCTTGCTCCCGGCATTTTAGTCGCCTCTTACAACACACATGGCTTACGGTGGAAGAATTCTGTTCCACTTCCCCATGGAGATAAGAGGAAATAAACAAGAACAAGAACTAGAAAGAAAATAGAAGAAAACCCAGAGGGGTATGTATATATATATGCTTGTACATGTGTGTGCAGTGTGACCTAAGTGTAAGTAGAAGTAGCAAGACATACCTGAAATCTTGCATGTTTATGAGACAGAAAAAAAGACACCAGCAATCCTACCATCATGTAAAACAATTACAGGCTTTCGTTTTACACTCACTTGGCAGGACGGTAGTACCTCCCTGGGTGGTTGCTGTCTACCAACCTACTACCTATATACATAATATATATATATATATATATATATATATATATATATATATATATATATATATATATATATATATATATATATATATATATATATATATATCCTAGGTAGTAGGTTGGTAGACAGCAACCGCCCAGGGAGGTACTACAGTCCTGCCAAGCAAGTGTAAAACAAAACTCTGTAATTGTTTTACATTATGGTAGGAATGATGGTGTGTTTTTTCTGTCTCATAAACATACAAGATTTCAGGTATGTCTTGCTACTTCTACTTACATTAAGGTCACACTACACATGCATGTACAAGAATATATATACAGACCCTTCTGGGATTTCTATTTTTCTTACTAGTTCTTGTTCTTGTTTTTCAACTTATCCCCATGGGGAAGTGGAACAGAATTTTTCCTTCGTAAGCCATGCGTGTTGTAAGAGGCGACCAAAATGCCAGGAGCAAGGGGCTAGTAACCCATTCTCCTGTATACATTATTATGGTTAAAAATAGAAACTTTTGTTTTTCTTTTTGGGCCACCCTGCTTCGGTGGGATACGGCCGGTTTGATGAAAGATGATGATTTATATGCGAGTATAAAGATGGGTGTTGGGGAGAACTGACAGATGGATGGCAGCGAGTAAGGAGGAGGAGGAGGAACAGCAGGAGCGGCAACAGGAGTAGGAAGAGCAGGAGTAAGAGAAGCTCCAGCAGGAGGTGGAGAGGCAGCAACAGCAGCAGACATATCAGCAGCATCAGATGTTGCTCCTTCTCCTTCTGCTGTTGCTTATGCTGTATCTTCTGTTGCTCCTGCTGCATCTCCTGTTGCTCCTGCTGCATCTCCTGCTGCATCTCCTGTTGCTCCTGCTGCATCTCCTGCTGTATCTGCTGTTACTAGTGCCGCCGCTGCAGCAGTCACATATGTACCATGATTTACCAAAACATTTTAGAATGTGTCAGCCACACCGCACACTTTCATGTGCAATTCCCACGCGTAAAAAAAAAACAAAACAATACAAGTCACAGTACCGTGGAACAGCTCACAAATAACCCGTATTTTGAGGAGGAATTTTAAATGTTTTGGGTCCTCCTGGATCATTTTCAAGTCAATAAACATGCACTAAATGTTGCTCAGGAATATACTAGGTCAAATGTAATCAATAATTGCTTAGTTTCCTCTTGAAATGTATTTGGTACATATAAATTATAGAGGAATTAGTTTACTGAGTATACCAGGAAAAGTGTATGGTAGGGTTATTATTGAAAGATTTAGAGGCAAGACAGAATGTAGGATTGCGGATGAGCAAGGAGGCTTCAGAGTGGGTAGGGGATGTGTAGATCAAGTGTTTACATTGAAGCATATATGTGAACAGTATTTAGATAAAGGTAGGGAAGTTTTTATTGCATTTATGGACTTAGAAAAGGCATATGATAGAGTGGATAGAGGAGCAATGTGGCAGATGTTGCAAGTATATGGAATAGGTGGTAAGTTACTAAATGCTGTAAAGAGCTTTTATGAGGATAGTGAGGCTCAGGTTAGGGTGTGTAGAAGAGAGGGAGAATACTTCCCGGTAAAAGTAGGTCTTAGACAGGGATGTGTAATGTCACCATGGTTGTTTAATATATTTATAGATGGGGTTGTAAAAGTAGTAAATGCTAGGGTGTTCGGGAGAGGGGTAGGATTAAATTATGGGGAATCAAATTCAAAATGGGAATTGACACATTTACTTTTTGCCGATGATACTGTGCTTATGGGAGATTCTAAAGAGAAATTGCAAAGGTTAGTGGACGAGTTTGAGAATGTGTGTAAAGGTAGAAAGTTGAAAGTGAACATAGAAAAGAGTAAGGTGATGAGGGTATCAAATGATTTAGATAAAGAAAAATTGGATATCAAATTGGAGAGGAGTAAGGAAGAAGTGAATGTTTTTAGATATCTGGCAGTTGACGTGTCAGCGGATGGATTTATGAAGGATGAGGTTAACCATAGAATTGATGAAGGAAAAAAGGCGAGTGGTGAGTTGAGGTATATGTGGAGACAAAAAACGTTATCTATGGAGGTAAAGAAGCAAATGTATGAAAGTATAGTGGTACCAACACTCTTATATGGGTGTGAAGCTTGGGTTGTAAATGCTGCAGCGAGGAGACGGTTGGAGGCAGTGGAGATGTCCAGTCTAAGGGCAATGTGTGGTGTAAATATTATGCAGAAAATTCGGAGTGTGGAAATTAGGAGAAGGTGTGAAGTTAATAAAAGTATTAGTCAGTGGGCTGAAGAGGGGTTGAGGTGGTTTGGTTATTTAGAGAATGGATCAAAGCAGAATGACATGGAGAGCGTATAAATCTGTAGGGGAAGGAAGGAGGGGTAGGGGTCGTCCTCGAAAAGGTTGGAGGGAGGGGGTAAAGGAGGTTTTGGGGACGAGGGGCTTGGACTTCCAGCAAGCTTGCGTGAGAGTGTTAAATAGGAGTGAATGGAAACGAATGGTATTTGGGACCTGACGAGATGTTGGAGTGTAAGCAGGATAATATTTAGTGAAGGGATTCAGGGAAATCGGTTATTTTTATATAGCCGGACTTGAGTCCTGGAAATGGGAAGTACAATGCCTGCACTCTAAAGGAGGGGTTTGGGATATTGGCAGTTTGGAGGGATATGTTGTGTATCTTTATACGTATATGCTTCTAAACTGTTGTATTCTGAGCACCTCTGCAAAAACAGTGATAATGTATGACTGAGGTGAAAGTGTTGAATGATGAAAGTATTTTTCTTTTTGGTGATTTTTTCTTTCTTTTTGGGTCACCCTGCGTCAGTGGGAGACGGCCGACTTGTTAAAAAAAAAAAAAACATATATTTCACCCAAAAACCACACAAGAATTCACTAGTGTTTAAAAATGCCAAAAGAGAAAGACGAATAAGTTGTTCTTAACAAATGAAGTGGAAGATGAATGGCATTTGCCACGAATAAGTTGCGAACGCCACAAATAAAGTAGCGAACACCACAAATACAGTAGTAAGAGCCACAAATATAGTAGTGAAAGCTACAAATATTGTAGTGAACGCCACAAATGAAGTAATGAACAACACAAATAAAGTAATGAACAACACAAATAAAGTAATGAACACAAATAAAGTAATGAACAACACAAATAAAGTAATGAACAACACAAATAAAGTAATGAACAACACAAATAAAGTAATGAACAACACAAATAAAGTAATGAACAACACAAATAAAGTAATGAACAACACAAATAAAGTAATGAATGTTACATATGAAATAATGAATGTTACAGAAAAGGTAGCGAATGCCACAATCCTTAGAAACTCAAAACATTTTATGATAGACTACATATACTGAAGACAAGACACCATGAGCTGGGCTCTGCTCCTATAATTACAAACGGGTAATACTAAATAGATCATCCTTCCCCAGACAAAACGAACTGATAGCCAGACTTGACTTACGTGATAGACTTGGCTTTCTTCTTAGTGACCATGGAGGCTGTGTTAAGATGGGTGAGTTCTATGATACTGGGATTGACTCTTGCTGCCTCACCATCCACCTGCATGGGTATAGTCTTCTTCGTGATGATTCGAGCTCTCTTGCACTGACAAATTGTTGTCCCGTGACCTCCAGCTTGCAGCAGTGGCTGAAATGAGAAAAACAACAACTCCAATGATCCAGGTCTATCACTTGACTTAGTACAGGATGATTGGAAAAAAGAATCTGTATGATTGCATTAATTATTAAAGTACAGCATTTGTAATTTAAGTACTAAATGATGAACCAGACAAGAGCTAAATGCTTCAGTCATTTTTCAGACCTTAAAAACTGTAATCTTTACTCGAGATCCCAGTTTTTAACTCTTATATTGACAAATTTGCCTGAATGCACATAAACAAAACTTAATAAGGGCTATCATAGCCCTAAGCTAAATCAGCCATTAAATATCAATGATGCTCAAAAAAGGTAAACTGAAATTTATTTAGTGTGATTAATGGGAATTCATTACACATAACATGGAGTAATTCTGCCCCTAGACACCGTTTTTCACTTTTGCCGGCGTGGTTTAGGAGTTTTTTTTCTTGAAATTTTTCAGTACACCACGAATTTTGGAAATTTTTCCCTTTTTTCAGGTCCGGGTGGTTTCAAAACTTTGGGGTAATGCACACGGCAATCTTCAAAAATCTCGTTTATTACCGTAACAAAACTGAAAGTTTGGACCCGATCAAATAGGTTTCTAGAGTTATATGAGAAAAAACAAGGGAAAGTTTCAGGAGAAAAAAAATAAAGAAAACCATTTGAAGGTTTTCCCCTTTTGGAGATATTTTTAAAAGTATGATTTACCGGAGGGTAAAAAAAAAGGTTTGAAAATCACACGAGACCCGAAATTAGGCCCCAAAAAGTATAACAAATTTTTATGGAGGCCATCTTTAATTTAAAATTCTGCAAATGCTGTCCCCGGGAAGGGTTTTAAAGGCTGGCTTTGGGGGCCCTCACCCCAGGGGCCTCAGCCCAGGGCCTAGCCCCGGGGCCCCCGCCCCGGGGCCTCGCCTGCCCGGGGGCCCCCAAGGTTGAAGTATGGTATTACACAATATAGATGAACGTGATTTTTGATTATTTTTCCTTTTGAAAATATAACCAGTCTAAAGTACCCGTAAAACCCAAGAGTCTACAAAAAACTTAAAATGGGTCGAATGTCAGCTTGGTGTCATTTACATGATCCCTATCAAACAAAAATTTTAAAGTGCAAACCTGAACTACCAACCATTCCAGGGTTACTCCCTTGACTGCGTATTTTATTTTAATACTATCGTCTCCTCCCCAGGTAGGATGATCAGATGGAAAACATTAATGTCATTCATGCAAATTTCTTCTTGTCAGGAAGTGCTGATTCAAGGGCTCTCCATACCGCTGTACCATCTTACATCAACATAACTTTCATAGTCTCAATAACCCTTCAATATTTTGTAATCTGTGTTACTCACCATCTGGTATGTGGTGAGTCCAATGACTTCAATGATACCATCATCTGTGTGTTGCTCCACCCCACCACTCCTGTTCCATGGATGAGTACCTGATCCATAGCTGTAGACATACAATGGATTAACTACTGGTCTTTGGATAGATTTTAACAAAATATACGAGAGGAATGGTTGGGTGAGAATAGGATTTACCTTCCAAGGGAATCTAGAAAAAAATAATGAATAAAATCCATGGAAAGAATCCACTCCCCCCCTAACCTAAACTAACCGTGATAATATACACTTGGAAGGTCAATGCACACGAAAATCACTCCCTATGAAAGCAAAGGACTCGCCAGGAGATGCAACATTCCCCTGATGAAAAGCAGGGGCGCCACGAGTACATTGAGAGACAGCACAATAAGTGTCCGGGGCCCCCGACTGTTCAATTGCCTCCCAGCATACATAAGGGGGATTACCAATAGACCCCTGGCTGTCTTCAAGAAGGCACTGGACAGGCACCTAAAGTCAGTATCTGACCAACCGGGCTTTGGTTCGTACGTCAGCTTGCGTGCGACCAGTAGTAACAGCCTGGTTGATAAGACCCTGATCCACCATGAGGCCTTGTCTCAGACCGGACCGCGGGGGCGTTGACCCCCGAAACCCTCTCCAGGTAAACTCCAGGTAAACCAAGTGACATGGATTTTTTTGTGAATTATTGATCTGATGGATTATTTTTCCACGGATTTTTACTGAATTTTTTTTTCTGTTCACCATTCTAAGGCCCACTGCAATGTATTATATTTTATAAACGGACTTGCTACCATGTGAAGACAACCCCAGTGTCTGTTATGCTGATGCTACGGCCAACCCTACTCCAGTCATAATTACTTTTTATTAACAAAATCAGTCGTGCTGTAGTACGTCTATTATCATATCTGATAAAGTTAAGATAAAGGAAGGTGGCGCTGTGAACCCCATCTGAGTTCACGCCTCACAACACTCAGGGCTCAGGTAACCATGTATAGCTGTCGACTACGTAAGGATAAATAATAAATTAGTCGAAAATAGTACAAGTATTGACAGATGGTCAATTTATTTTAATATATTTTATAAAAAAGTGAAAGGACAATTAGTCAAGGAATGGCAAGAAGTGTAGGTTATAATGGCAGAAGTGGGGGGGGGGGAAGGGGGGTCGGGATCTGACAAGTGTTATGAGAATTAAATGGTCCACACTGACACAAATAATTAAAGAAGTATCTTTGTAAAATTAATTATTACATATCAGTTGTTGTAATTGACTATATGGAGTGTGAAGGCAGGACTCGGAAATATACCATAACTGTGTGTAATACACTGAATTGTTGCCTTAATTAATGATATGCAGTAGTGTATGGTTTTGTAGTGTGTGACAGGCAGCGATCACAATGGTTTTGTAGTGTGTGACAGGCAGCGATCACAATGGTTTTGTAGTGTGTGACAGGCAGCGATCACAATGGTTTTGTAGTGTGTGACAGGCAGCGACCACAATGGTTTTGTAGTGTGTGACAGGCAGCGATTCTCAATGGTTTTGTAGTTGTGTGACAGGGCAGTGCGATCACAATGGTTTTGTTATGTGTGTGACAGCAGCGATCCACATTGTTTTGTAGTGTGTGAAAGGCAGCGAATCACACAAGGTTTTGTTAGTGTGTGAGAGGCAGCGATCACAATGGTTTGTACTTGTGTGTGGGGCAGCGATCACAATGGTTTTGTTGTGTGTGACTGGCAGTCGATCACATGGTTTGTATAGTGTGTGTCAGGCGCGATCACAATGGTTTTGTAGTGTGTGACTGGGGCAGCGATCACAATGGTTTTGTAGTGTGTGACAGGCAGCGATCACAATGGTTTTGTAAGTGTGTGACAGGCAGCGATCACAATGGGTTTGTAGTGTGTGACAGGCAGCGATCACAATGGGTTTTGTTAGTGTGTGACAGGCAGCGATCACAATGGTCTTTTTTGTAGTGTGTGACAGGCAGCGATACAACGGTTTTGTAGTTGTGTGACAGGCAGCGATCACAATGGTTTTGTAGTAGTGTTTTTGTGGTTTTTTGGGGGGAAAAAATAAAAAAATGGGAAGGGGGGCAGCGATCAAATGGTTTTGTAAGTGTGTGACAGGCAGCGATCACATATGGTGTTGTAGTGTGTGACAGGCAGCGTCACAATGTTTTGTAGTGGCTGTGATCAGCAGCGATCACAATGGTTTTGTAGTGTGTGACAGGCATGCGATCACAATGGTTTTGTAGTGTGTGACAGGCCGCGATCACAATGGTTTTGTAGTGTGTGACAGGAGCGATCACAATGGTTTTGTAGTGGTGTGGGTCAGGCAGCGTCACAATGTTTTGTAGTGTGTGTCAGGCAGCGATCACAATGGTGTTGTTTGTGTGTGACTGCAGCGATTCACAATGGTTTTGTAGTGTGGACAGGCTGCGATCACAATGGTTTTGTAGTGTGTGACAGGCATGCCGATCACAATGGTTTTGTAGTGTGTGGATCAGGCAGCGAAAAAAATTTTTTTTTTCACCAATGGGTTTTGTAGTGTGACAGGCAGCGATCACAATGAGTTTTGTAGTGTGTGACTGGCAGCGACTCACAATGGTTTTGTAGTGTGTGACAGGCAGCGATACACAATGGTTTTGTAGTGTGTGAGAGGCAGCGATCACAATGGTTTTGTAGTCGTCGTGAGAGGGGCAGCGATCACAATGGTTTAGTAGTGTTGAGAAGGCAGCCGATCACAATGGTTTAGTAGTGTGTGACAGGCAGGCGATCACAATGGTTTAGTAGTGTTGTGACAGGCAGCGATCACAATGGTTTTGTAGGTGTGAGAGGCAGCGATCACAATGGTTTTATGTAGTGTGTGAGAGGGCAGTCGATACAATGGTTTGAAGTGTGTGAGAGGAGCGATCACAATGAGTTTAGTAGTGTTGACAGGCAGCCGATCACAATGGTTTAGTTAGTGTGTGAGAAGCAGCGGATCACAATGGTTAATAAGTGTGTGACAGCAGCGATCTCCAATGTTTTGTAGTGTGTGACAGGCAGCGATCACACAATGGTTTTGTAGTGTGTGGACAGGCAGCGTTCACATTGGTTTTCGTAGTGTGTGGACAGGCAGCGAGCACATTGGTTTTGTAGTTGTGACAGGCAGCGATCACAATGGTTTGGTAGTGTGTGAAAGGCAGCGTTCACAATGGGGTTTTTGTAGTGTGTGAGAGGCAGCGTTCACAATGGTTTTGTTGTGTGTGACAGGCTGCGATCACAAATGGTTTTGTTGTGTGAGACAGGCAGCGATCAAAATGGTTTTAGTAGAATGTCGATGACAGGCAGCGATCACATTGGTTTTGTAGTGTGTGACGGCAGCGATCACAATGGTTTTGTAGTGTGTGACAGGCAGCGATCCACAAGGTTTTGTGTCGTGTGTGTGAGGGCAGTGATCACAAGGTTTTGTAGTGTTGTGACAGGCAGCGAATCACAATGGTTTTGTAGTGTGTGTGAGGCCGCGATCACAATGGTTTAGTAGAGTGTGACAAGGCAGCGATCACAATGGTTTTGTATTGTGTGACAGGCCGGGACAGCGATCACAATGTTTGTAGTGTGTGACAGGCAAGCGATCACAATGGTTTTTGTTGTGTGTGACAGGCTCGCGATTCACAATGGTTTTGTTAGTGCGTGAGAGGCTCAGCGATCACAAATGGTTTTGTAGTGTGTGACAGGCAGCGTTCACAATGGTTTTGTTGTGTTAGACAGGCAGCGATCCAATGGTTTTGTAGTCGTGTTGTGACATGGCAGCGATCACAAATGGTTTTGTTCGTGTGTGACACGGCAGCGATCACAATGGTTTTGTAGCGTGTGACAGGCACAGCGAATCACAATGGTTTTGTAGTGTGTGACAGGCAGCGATCACAATGGTTTTGTAGTGTGTGACAGGCAGCGATCACAATGGTTTTGTAGTGTGTGACAGGCAGCGATCACAATGTTTTGTAGTGTGTGACAGGCAGCGATCACAATGGTTTTGTAGTGTGTGACAGGCAGCGATCACAATGGTTTTGTAGTGTGTGACAGGCAGCGATCACAATGGTTTTGTAGTGTGTGACAGGCAGCGATCACAATGGTTTTGTAGTGTGTGACAGGCAGCGATCACAATGGTTTTGTAGTGTGTGACAGGCAGCGATCACAATGGTTTTGTAGTGTGTGACAGGCAGCGATCACAATGGTTTTGTAGCGTGTGACAGGCAGCGATCACAATGGTACAGGAGGAAGAACCAAGTCATGAGCATGAACACTGGTCCACATGTTATGATATTCTCTGAACAGACAGGTCTTTAAAACTGCAGTATGTTTTAGTACTGTACATGTCAACACTGCGTATGTATGTATATAATATATATATATATATATAGTATATATAGGTAGTATATAGGTAGTAGGTTGGTAGACAGCAACCACCCAGGGAGGTACTACCGTCCTGCCAAGTGAGTGTAAAACGAAGCCTGTGATTGTTTTACATGATGGTAGGATTGCTGATGTCTTTTGTCTGTCTCATAAATATGCAAGATTACAGGCATGTCTTGCTACTTCTACTTACACTTAGGTCACACTACACATACATGTACACATTTATTTATACACACTCATCTGAGTTTTCTTTGATTTTATCTTAATAGTTCTTGGTCTTATTAATTTTCCTTTTATATCCATGGGGAAGTGGAATTAAGAATCTTTCCTCCGTAAGCCATGCGTGTTTGTAAAAGTCAACTAAAATGCCGGGAACAATGGGCTAGTAACCCCTTTTCCTGTAAAGATTACTAAAAAGAATAAGAAGAAAGAAAATTGTCAAAGTGGGAAGTCTGAATGTGCGTGGATGTTGTGCAGATGATAAGAAAGAGATGATTGTGGATGTTATGAATGAGAAGAAGCTGGATGTCCTGGCTTTAAGTGAAACAAAGCTGAAGGGGGTGGGAGAGTTTCAGTGGAGAGGAATAAATGGGATTAGGTCAGGGGTTTCAAATAGAGTTAGAGCTAAAGAAGGAGTAGCAATAATGTTGAAGGATAAGCTATGGCAGGAAAAGAGGGACTATAAATGTATTAATT